GCTTCTCCTTAAGCAAGTAGTACTGATACCGTGGGAAAGGCCAACCTCGGCTGTGGTACCAGTAGAGATCAAGGGGAGGACTGGAGATTTAGGAAGGACGGGGCTTTTATACAGGAGCACTGCAAAGCTATCTAGTATAGAATCAACTGAACTACCATATTTTTCGGACTATAAGATGCACCAAGATTTCGAAGTAGTAAGTAAGAAAAAAAAAAGGTTTTTGTCCTCCTTGGCCCCCAGGAGCACCCTGCAGGCTTCAGCAGGGCTGGGGGAAGGCAAAAGGGCCCTCATTTTTTGCGAAAAACAGCCCATTTTTCACAAAAATGGTATGTATGGGTGGGGCTTCGGGAGGCCAAAAATGGCTGTATTTGGTGTATAAGATGCACCAACATTTCCATGGTCTTTTTTTTGGGGGGGGCGGGAAAGGTGGATCTTTTACTCCTAGAAATACGGTAGTTCTTTGTGTGCTGAGACCCCACACCCTCCGTCCCACCAGCAATAAGCCCTTCTCCTAGGGTAGGAGAAGATTAAGGCTGCCTGGAGAGAGAGCAAGGGAGGGACACACTTACCACACATAAGGAGGCTCTGTTTGGCTGCGTCCCGCACGGCTTCCTTGTCAGTTTGGCACAGGTATACCAGCTGTTCAATGCTCTCCTTGGCCTGTTGGTTGCGGGAGTGTTAAAATAAAGGAAATGACATCATTCCTTAAGGATCTAAAAGGAGCTTGCACAGCCCGCTTCCCTGATCCACCTTCCCAATTGCGGTTATTTGGAGTCACAGGTCCTCAGTTATGGGACACTGGGAAAACATTTCTTACAGGTAGGACACTTTGACACTGGAACCAATGACTTAACCTAGTGATGGATCTCTTAAGCTTGACTGTATTCAAAGGGCAGCGGCCCCCAATTTTTGGGCACCAGGAACCAGTACTGTGGAGAGAGGTTTTCCCGTGGACTGGAAGCGGTATGGTTTCACATGCTGCCTGCACTCCCCAGAGGGGGCTTTGCTTGTTTGTGCGGCCCGGTTTCTGGCATGTCGCAGACCAGTGCCGGTCCATGGACCCCTGGCAACTCTGGAGCCGCATGTGGCTCTTTCATCCCTCTGCTGCAGCTCCATGTCACCGGTCAGCTTCACAATTGATAGAGCTTTCAGTTAGGACAGGTAGAGGAAAAGGGAAGGTAGAGGTAGAGACTCTAAGGGGAACCCGACTTCTGATCAGCTCCAGAATTGAATGGGGGGCTTCCAGTTAGAACTTTTGTAGCTCTTTGAGAGTTTAAGGTTGCGACCCCTGGTACAGGGGTGCTTTTCCAAGAGAAAAAGGAGCAAAATGGATCTTTCCCAAGGATGCTAAGTTAGTTTTTCGGTTCAGGCTGCTGCACAGGCTGAAGTTGGCCGAGGACTCAAATAGAACTTGCAAGCTCCTAAAAGCTCTTAGAGAGAACAGGATGGTCACTGAAGGCATCTGGACAGCAAAACAGTTGATATCTACATTTTAGATAGATAAATAGATGGATAGATAGATACATAGTGTAGATATAGATAGATGATAGATATATAAATATATAAATAGATGATAGATAGATAGATAGATAGATAGATAGATAGATAGATAGATAGATAGATAGAGAGAGAGAGAGAGAGAGATACATACTGTAGATATAGACAAATAGATGATAGATAGATAGGTAGATAGATAGGATAGATACATAATGTATATATAGATAGATGATAGATATATAAATATATAAATAGATGATAGATAGATAGATAGATAGATAGATAGATAGATAGATAGATAGAGAGAGAGAGAGAGAGAGAGAGAGAGATACATACTGTAGATATAGACAAATAGATGATAGATAGATAGGTAGATAGATAGGATAGATACATAATGTATATATAGATAGATGATAGATATATAAATAGAAGATAGATAGATAGATAGATAGAT